AAAGACGTTGTTACATTTTTACAAGTTAAATATTTTACGTAGTAAACAAAAAAGTGTTATGCAATAATAAAAGAATAACAAGATTTAAATTAAAAAAACAACAGAAAAATAAAAAGTTCACAAAAAATTTCTTAAAGATAATTGGACAGATAGTATAATAGCAATATAGGGTTGAAGATCGTAAATAATTGAGTTGCAAATCATATCAAGAAAAATCATACGTTACAAATCATGTAAACCGATATAAATAATAGATAAAAAGAATTTCAAAAAGTTTAAAAGTACATTTGTATATTGTCAATTTCAAAAACTACTTCTTTCAACTTTTTTTAAAAGATATGTAATTCCATTCAAAAGAAAAATCAAAGTTATTTAAGACAATTTTGTTTTCAAAGATACGGTCCCCGAAATGATAAGCAAAATTTACAATGATTAGTTTTCAAAAATGGTTGCATCAAAAAATCATCATTTCGTAGATTATATTTATTTTTTTGTTTTATTATAAATAAACTATGAAAAGGAGACGGGGGATAATTTCGTTTTACATTTAAACATAAAACAAAGAATATTATATACGTTAAGTTGATATATGTTTAAAACATTCATTTTTCTTAAGAGAGGCTTTGAATAAGTTCGTCTATCACAAGAATTAATTAAACGTGCTATATGTTTCTGATGACGATGAAGAGGCTCTAGTTTACTTTTGTTAGTACTGCCCCACGCAATATTTGCATAGTTAACATGGCAGTGAATAAGTGAATAATATAGTTGCATTAAAGTGCGCATGTTTAAATAGCTTTTTGATTTGTATAATATTCCAATACTTTTTGAAATTTTGTTGCTTAAATTTTCGATGTGTTGTCTCCATGTAAGATTTTCATCAATATATATTCCTAAAAACTGAGTAGTTTTTACTCTTTTAACTTGAATATTATCAATGAATATAGATGGCGTTTCGTATGGTATTAGTTTTTTTTTGGAAAGTGGGTGAAATAGAGTCCAGTTAGTTTTGTCAATATTTACTGAAAGTTTATTTAATTTGAACCAGTCGGAAACCTTTTTAAGTTCTAAGTTCATAATTTCAAATAATATAGTAATGTTGCTGTGCGATAAAAATAAATTTGTGTTGTCGGCAAACATTATTGTCCTCAGGCTGGATGCTTTATGTAGGGGAGAGCGGGGTTGGTTGTCACACTTTTTACATTTTAGGCTGCTCAGCTTTTAATTTTCATCCAATCAATGCCAAACTTTGCACAAAGCTAGTTTAACTATTTCCAGTAACTATTATAATATTTTTATGACATTGAGTGAAATATTTATTGCTGTAAAATCATTTTTCAAAGACCACTTCTGTGTGACAACTAGCCCCGCTCACGGGGTAGGTTGTCACATGGTGCGGGGTTGATTGTCACATTTGGATTTTGACAAGTTTAGATAAGAATTTAATGTAAAACGAGTACAAATTAATTTCGTTTATGTTTTACTAAGAAAAATAAAAATAAAATACTATAAACTGAAATATATATATTTTAAATATAACACAATTAACAAATTTAGTTTATCACTATAAATGTTTTTAGGTTTGGTTTTTTAAAAATTATTGGATAAAGAACACATTTCACAAATAAACTGTTGTAAGCGTGGTGTGCATTCTTCATGAGACCGTTTTTGGCAAACCTGACATTGAATCCACTATTCTCTTGATCGGCTGTTGGAAAATGATTCAAAACAATAGATGCACTAAATATAAACAATGCACAAACAAAACAACAGACAGTTTTACAAACTAAACAACAGCTAGTTGTTTAGTTTGTAAACAAAACAATAAACAGTTGAACTTCTGCAATCCTTTTTCTATAATTATACTAAACATTGGATCGGAATCTAAAGTTATGCACGTTGAAATAAAAATAATTTAGATTACAGATATTTAGTTAAACAAGTATAACACTTTGACTTTAGATTTTTAAATAATATCTTAAACATTAAAATATTCCTCAATAATGCGGAAAATAAACAAAGCCAATAAAAAATCTGCAAGCGGCGTTTAATTTGCAGCGCATGGAGTCGAGGCAAGTGTGACAACCATCCCCATATATTTTGTGACAAGCAACCCCTTCTGAGTAAGTTGCTGGACAACTGTACATTTACCTAAAAGCGTGATAATTTCTTGATAATTTTTTACGGATTAAGTTACTCAAATGAATAAAGTACTTTATAAATCTATATTCAAAACACAATAAAATAATGTTCGTTTGGTAAAAGAAAATTTCTGAGTAGGCGAAATTTTACTTTTTCATATCAAAAACCTTTAAAAACGAATAACTTTTCTTCTGCACGCTAAAAAAAGATAAAAATTACTGTAAAAATGTTTTTTTTTATATAACATTTCCATTGCATAATTTGAAATTTCTATATCTTATTTACATTTCCTGTAATAAACTTTGTGACAACCAACCCGCGTGACAACCAACCCCGCTCTCCCCTAGATCATTAACATATATAAGAAAAAGAAGAGGTCCTAGTATAGAACCTTGTGGCACGCCACAAGTAATATTTAGTAACGTTTTTTGGTGATTTATCGTCAATGTGTACATATTGAGCACGATTATTTAAATAACTCTTTACACATTTTAAAACGACTCCTGTGATTCCATATAGTTCGAGCTTTTTAATAAGAACTTGATGGTCGATAGTATCAAAAGCTTTTGATAAATCAATAAAAATTCCTAATGTATATTCAGATTTATTAAACGACTCGTTAATATTATGTGTAAACTGAAGTATTGCATGCTCTGTGGAGTTTTTTTTTTTGAAACCATATTGATTATTAAATAAAATTTTATTAACAGAAAGATGAGTGTTGATTTTGTTATATAAAATTCTCTCTAAAATTTTTGAAAATACAGGAAGAACAGCGACAGTTATTAACATTAGTTGCAAACCCTTCTTTGAATATTGGCGTTACTTTGGCAATTTTAACTTGATCAGGGAAAACCCCTTGGCTAACGCAAGACGAAAAGATTTTTATTGAATATTTTCAATAAAATTGTAAGAATTTATAACGAGGTTTCCGTTGATACCGTCGAATCCGATTGCTTTATTTGGTTTAATCGTTTGAAAGCAGCTTCAAATTCCTTAATGGATATTTCAATGCAATTAAGATTTGTTACTTTTTGAGGTAAAAATTCATAAGAATTACTAGTATAAGGAGTATTTTTTGCTAAGTTAGGCCCCGCTAAAATAAAATGCTTATTTAGTTCAACTGCAATATCGCTTAAAGCATATAAAATTTTATCTAACTTTAATCCCGTTAGGCAAAGCGCCTGAGCTATTTTTAGCTTTACTAGTGATTTCTCTTAAAACTTGCCAAGTCCGTTTTGAGTTGTTTATGTTTTAAGTCAAGATAGTATATTTTTTTTAATTTTTTCTTTTTCTTTCGAATTCTCTAGCATAATTTTTGTAAATGGTTTTATTTTCAACTGATTTGGATTTCAAGTATTTAATATATAATTTTTGTTTAAGTTTGGAAGATTTTCTTAGTGCATTGGTTATCCATGGGGATGTTATTTTTTTAAGCTTTTGGTTAATTTCAATTTTAGGAAAATTTGCGTCATAAATATCGTAGAATGCTTTAAGAAATGTGGTAAATAAACTTATAGTCAAACATCTAAACACTTCTCCGAAAAATCAGCTAATTTATTTTTATTTATTGTATTTTTTTATTTTAATTGGAATAATATAGAGATATTTATCGGATTATTAGTACATACACATTACTACATTGTTGTAATTGGTGTTTATTTTAATCGTATCTCGGAGTTGTATGCAACTATATTTTTGTTTACTTCGTATATTTTGAACTTTATGCTTATGATATTTATGTTTGTATATCTTTACGCCAATCGGTGATTGGTTACTTGTAAATACTTTGTAGTTGTACTTGTAAATACTTTGTAGTTGTAGAGAAGAAGGCAAATGAAACTTTAAAAGCAGTTTTTTGCTTCCTACAATAAAAAAGTCTTTAACTTAAGTTTATTTATTTTAGGTGCCCCAATAAGTCCCTACAGTTTGATACGGTCTACGGCCCACAGAACACTACGAAACAGCATTTAAAGGGAAGTTCACGCCTCCTTCTTTACCGATGTTATAAAACGCCCAGAGGTAGCAAACTAACGCTATTAAATTTATTTCATTTGAATACAGCGCATACACGTCAAAAGTTTTTATAAAATATTTTGCTAAAAAATTTAATATTTAAAATAATATTTTTGGTTGCAACTTGTGCATATCGCAGTGGGCAATAAGACGTACATTTTGTCCACTTGCTACATACCTTGGTATGTAATAAGTGGAAAAGCCCGAGACGTACCGATTTAAACGCTATTAAAACAATTTAAATTCTACTAAAAAGCATAACTTCAGACTGGCAATTAAAATGCAAAACTATTATGTAAAGCAAAGAGAAAGCACGATTGCACTGTACTTTTCTGAACACAAACGTGCCCTAAAATGTTTATTAGAAAAAGAAAAACTCTAAAGAAGCAAGAGCAATCGGCAATAATTAAAAACGCACTCTGAACAAAACACTAAGCGGCAAAAAGTAAAAAAAAGTTAACAGTTTGATTCATAAATAATCCACTGCTTTTATTTGAGAATTAAAACTATAAATGTTGATGTTGCAGGGCCTTAATCTAATTCTAGCTAATTTAAGGTTATATCAGGTTTCAAAAAAAAGCGGTTTTGTGAAGAAAATAATTTTACTATATCAAAATTGTTAAAGCATTATTAAATAATTTAATAAAACAGTTGTGATTCAATTCTTTTAAATAAGTGTTTTAACTATTTCTTGAGGTCCGCTTTAAAAAAAAAGATACTTGATGTATTATTTCGCAAGTATTATTCGTAATTATTAATAGAAAGCAGCATTTTATTTTATATTAGCTTTGGGGCTTTGTAAGACCAAATTTTACGTAAATCATATCAGTAATAAGTCTTAGAAACCTTAATGAAAAGTCTTAAATTTTTATCTTGAACTTTAACAATGTTTGTGATTAGTATATATATATATATATATTCAATAAATAATCGATCAGTAAAAATGCATTTAATACCCATAAAAAATAAAATACTTAAAATTTTAAATATCTTGTACAAAGAATTTGCTTCAATTTAAGAGCAAAAATAAAAAACTTTTATGTTAAACTTTGGAGCTGTTATGTTTTCTTGTCATAATTATGCTTAAGACTAGTCTCATGGATGATAAAAACAATAAATTAATTTAAATAATTAGTAAACAAATAATTCAAAATCTCAAATTAAATTAAAAAAAGCACAGTAACATTAAATATTTTTCACGATATATTATTTTCTAGTATTATAAGCAAATTTTGGCGACATTGATTTTCGATCTTGAGTATTTTCTGCTTTATTGTCAATTAACAGGGAATCTTCTTTTAACTTTTGAAAGTGCATAAAAAGAATTCCGTATTCGGGTTTTGCAGAACAAAACTCGGCAAAGTTATCTACAAAAAATATTTTTTAGAACAAATAATTAATTAAACAATGTTGCGAACTCTCTTAGCGTATTAAAAGACATAAATCAATAAAGCAAGTTTAGACTAGTTGTCTATTTATGGTGTGCTAGAAAAGCACTCTATGAACTGATAAATCCAGAATTATTGTAGACCCAGTATTTTCTTTATGAAAGCAAGTACTTTCCATTTCCAAAATAGCAATTGAGAGTTTCGGTAGGGCGCCATATTTGTGGCAATAAAAACATGATTATTCGACACTGCATAAAGCACAACAATTGTAAAATGTAAAAAGCAGAAGATCAAAAAAACCATGAATTTACGACTGAAGATCGTGAATTCATGGCTATACAGGTAACAGACAGGCTAGATCCATCACTTTCTGCAACTATTTTTGCAGATCACATTATAACAGAAAATCACGATGCGGTCTGCAAAAATCAGACCACATCATGACAAGAATCAAGTCGAGTTCATCAATTAAACTCAACATGGCTTCATCGACATCTAAGCATAGTATTACAAAACCTAATGTTGTATTGTCTCCAGAAGTAGTACCAATTCCAAATCTATAACTTTAGTTTCAGACCTATAATTGAATTGTTTATTTCAGCAACCCGTCAAGCGATATTTTTTTCAAAAAAGATATTATTATATATTGTTAAAAGTCAACTTTAGTCACACCATCTGATTCAGAAACACATGAACTATTCAATGAGTTGTATTTTGTATTGAAATTTTAGTTTATAGCAGAAACCTGTTAAGTGAAATTACATGGCGGCTTTCTGGAGTAAACTTTATATTTTGTGTACATAACATGAAAACAAAAAAAAGCCAAAATGTATATCCATAATACTACATTATTTGAAAACTAAAGTTCCAAGTGGAACTAGGTATCCAATTCATTTTCAATGATGACTCTTCAGAGGAAAACAAAAATCATTGCATAGTGAAACTCTTGAATAGCCTTTGTGATAGAGGATTATTTAAAACTGTTCGTCACTACATCTCAATTAGACGTCACTCATTTTTACACTTTGATCAAAATTTTGGCTGCAACAAACGTGCTGTTTGAACAAATGTTTGAAGAGTTGACAGAGTTGACACATTAAATTAGTATGTTATGATGATTTTTAAATTAAGTAAATAAGGGTGCTTTACTGTTCACCAAGTAACAAATAACATGATCACTTTGATAATAATTGGTGGCCACAATATTACAAGCCTGCAACATTGATGTAGTGCATGACGATGAGTAGAATAAAAACTCAAACAATAGGCTTGGCTTATATGCATAAATAATATGTTTTATGTTATAGTAAACTTTACGTTATCTCGTTTGTCTTTGATTATTTCTTTATTTTGTGTATCTCATTTAACTGATTTTTTAACTTTTTCTTTGATTTTTAATAAACTCAAACATAAAGATAATATACTTTTTTATTTACAACCTATAACTTTTTTATTTAGTGAGTTTTTATTTATTTACTAAGTTTTATTTTATTGCAGAAAACCGTCAAAAACAAAAATTTTAAAACAGTTTTGCATAAAAAATAAAACTTTTTAAATTAACTCTAAGCATTATTTGTTTTTGTAATACAATAAGAAAAATAAGTTAAGTTTAACAAAGAGATAAATATACCGCCCTTGTCTATTAAAGAAAATATAAGAAAAAAAATTTGCTAATAATGAAAAAAAGTTGAAAATTCTTTATTCAAATCCAACTAAACTTACTGAAATCGATATAATCTGCATTTGAAGGATTCATATCTTTGAATATTTTTCCAATAAATGAATCACCTAGCTGCATAGAATTTCTGAGAAAACTAGATAAACTAGCATATGTTAAAAATCCATCATCATCTTCATCAAGCATCTAGATAAAATGAAAAAACAATATTTTTTTTTTGCTAATTAGTAAAATTCTTCTGTTGATCAATAGAATTCCTTATTTTTTAAAAAGAGGCAAAGAGCCTTGTAAAATGTAAAAGAGTTATTTTTCATTGAAAAAATATATTCAATTATTTTTGGGATCTTTATGAAGCCTTTAAATAACAAGAAGTAAACTGTGAACATTTTACTTATTAGAAAGATAAGACAGAAGGGTTTAGTTAACAATGGTTGGTAGGTAGTTAACAATGGTTGGTAGGTAGTTAACAATGGTTGGTAGGTAGTTAACAATGGTTGGTAGGTAATTCCTCAACAGTTTTGGACTTAACTTTTTGGTAGGCAGATTATATTTATTGAATGATCTGCATCTTTTAGAGTCAGATTTGCTCAAATATAAGCAGGTCTTAAGAATGTTTTTCATTGATTACTGAATTTGTCATTTTATGTTTTGACATTATTTTACAAGTTTAACACGCTCACGCCTGCGTGTACCACTGGTGGTACACACTAGACTGTCTCATTGGGCAGCGTGTACCACTGGTGGTACACACTAGACTGTCTCATTGGGCGGCGTGTACCACCGGTGGTACACGCCGGCGTGAACATGTTAAATTTATTGTTACTAGAATTTGAAGCATTTATAGGTGTATCGCTTTTCTTTTTTTAATTTATTAAATTAAAAAATAGAAAGGCAAAGATTTCTAGAAACAAAAATAAACAACAAAGTGTAAAATTTATTTGATTTAATTTGAAAACAATGCAAAGCACGACGACCTTGTAAAATTTAATAGAACTTTGTTTAAAATATTTTCAGGATTTCGTTAAGCGTAAAAAGATTAAAATTGTAACAGAGTAATATTTGTTAAAAGTTATTGTCATATAAGCAAAGAAGATAAAGTACAACTTCAACAACAAGTTCTAGATACAGTACAACATCAACAACTTTCAGTTGTATCAGATTTAATTCAGACTTATGGTATCATCTTCTCATTAAAGTTCTTGTTATCAAAGATTTACAAATACAGTTATTTTAGAAAGGACTTAGAAAAGAGTCGAAAAAAACCCCAAAGATGAACATCAAAAATGTTTATAACAGAAACTGTTTTAGCTTTAGTAGATTTTAATCAATTTTTTAATTTAAAAATAAAAGTAAAAATATTTTATCTGTCAAATTTAATAAAAAAAAAAATCAAAGTTTGATAATTTAATACTAAGAATATGGATCATCTGTAACTAAAGCATAACTAAACCAAGAATATGGATCATCTGTAAGAAAGCATAACTAAACCAAGAAAATGGATCATCTGTAAGAAAGCATAACTAAACCAAGAATATGGATCATCTGTAACTAAAGCATAACTAAAATACTATGATTCAGTTTTTTTTTGTCTTTTATTAACATTTTTGAAGTGATTTACTCAGATTTTTGCAAAAGTGTGAAAATAAGAAAGAAAATTCAGATAAAAACACTGACTCGGATATGAATGACATTGAAAACTAAAATGAAAATAACTATGATGATATGATCTCTTTGAAGATAATTTTTTTCAAACTAGCAAATGACACTGTAACTTATGTCATGAAAGTGCAAATTTAATTGAATGTAACTTAATGCTTTAACTGAATTTTTTTTAAGAACAGCTAGTTTTAAGCCACAGAAAAAATTTCATTATTTTTACTGAAAAATTGAATCATTATTTTTACTGAAAACTAAAAGATTGTTACAGCTTAAATTTTTGTTTCTAAAGTGAAAATATTTTTTTTACCAAATAATGTAAATACCTTGGCTCATTGTAGATCCCAATAATTTTTTTTGAATTCCATTATTAATTTTTTTAGAATTCCATTAATATAATGTTGTTCAAAAACGTTTAGATAAAAGTGTTACTGTGAATTTCAACAGTATTTTACAATCAAATCTCACAGAAGAAACACAAAAAGAAACAATTTATTTTTTGTTAAAAACTTTTTTATAGGTACAAACTGCATAATGAATTACTAATCCCCGTTAAAAATTGACATTAAATTTTTTTTTTAAAGAAATAATTTAAGTTTAAATCTAAAAAATTTGTTAATTAGTCAGTTTTTTGCATCCTTGTGTTTATTTGTAATATTTATATAACTATATGATTAACTAAATGTTTTAAATGGCAAAAATTTGTAAAGCTTAAATCAACAAATCAATATTAATAACTTTAAATTTATGACATAAATGTAATGAGTATTATAAATCAAATTCATAAATCAATAAAAATAATTAAATTTTTAAAATTTTCATTTTTCAGTAATTTTCTTTTGCTTTTTATAATCTAGTTATGAATGGATTTTCTTTTGTAGTTGTTATAAACAGACTAAAATGAGCACAACACAAAATACATAATTAAACTGACCAAGAAAGCACGCTTTATTTTTTCCTCTGTATTCAATGGTTTTAGTATCAAGAATGTTCCAACCAAATATTCACGGAAACTGATGACATGATTTTTATCCTAAGTAAAAAAAAAAAATCAATAAAAATATATATATTAAAAAACAAAGTTTTTTATAGAAAAATAAATCATCATCATCATCATCATCATCATCATCATCATCATCATCATCATCATCATCATCATCATCATCATCATCATCATTTAGACAAATTTCTGTATAGAAACTCTACATTTTTACGGAAGATTCCTATTTCATAACGGTTGACGATAATGTTATAGTTTTTGCATCAATAGCTCAGAAATTTTTTAGATTACATTCTTAGTATCAAAATAAATTGAAAATAAAAGAATTTTTGAAGATAGCGCACAAAAAGTGATGTTTGTGTCGTGTTTCTATATTTGTCGTTATCAAGTTTAAATTTGCTATGAATCAGTTTAATCTTTATTTAAGTATGTGGCTAGCACTAATCTTAAAAAACTTGGAAAGTAATTTACTTGTTTCACTTACACAAATATCTGCTGTTTTTAAAAAAAGAGAAAAAATATTTGGCACTTTTTCTATGTATTTGTTACTATTTTGACTAAAAAATGTTTAGTTGCAAAAATTTCTCTGTTTCAAGTTAATGCAAAAGTTGACATGCTTTTGCAAAATACATTACAAATGTTTTATTTTGTGAAACATATTTTTTCTGAAACATTTTTGTGTCTTCTTTAATCCTATGATGTTATTTTGTCAATTCATCTCATAAGTGATTTGTTATAGCAACAAAGTCGAGTTTCTATACAAATTTTCAAAAAAGAAACAAATAACGACAAATTATCTACTTTATTGACAAATTCAATTGATTAAACATTCTTTATATAAAATTTAATATTGCTTTGATTAAAATTTTGAAAAAAAAAATTATTTCACACATGCAATGTTACATAGGACTGAGAGATATATCCTCTTTATTGTCACTGGTATAGATTCTCTACAAAAATGTTGTGTTTCTACACCAAATTTTTTTACATGAAATGTTTCCAGAATAATATTCAAATAAAAAGGTTTTGTTTAATCTAGTGAATTAATATTTTTTCTTTTCTTGATTTTAATATGTTCTTCGCAAATTAAATAAACAAACTTTATTGTTTCATTGTAATTCTTGCAATGCGGCGTTGATTAAATTTAGGCATCGTCATCTTCTGTATAAAAATCATACTCGCAAGTATTGTTTCTATACAAAAAAATCCTGTTTATTCAGTTTATCACCATATTCATCGTATTGCAGTAATAGTTTTACTCTTTATGTTGATTTTTTTTTCTATTACAAAATAAAAAGATATCTTTTATTAATTCATAAAATCTTTCGCCTATTTCACTGTAAATTAATTCAACAGCATTATAAATTAGTTAACGATTCTCATCACTTGTATAGAATTCCTACCTCAGGAAAAATCAACTGGTTTTGTTTATACACAAATAATTTCAAGTATAAGAAAGTATAAAGCTGTTAAAGACAAAAAATACTCAATACAATATTGAAACAAATAATTATTTTATATGCGATATAACAAAAAAACAAAAAAAGGTGTAAAATCCATTCGTTTCACATAAACTATCAACTAAATCTATGACTTAATTAAAAGTTTGTAGTTATAGCTGAAGTGAAAGCGTTAAAGTCAGGTCAGATTATCCTGCTATTGGTAACATGTAACCCAGTACAACCTGCTTTATATCATGCTGCCGTGCAGGATACGCTTTTTCAGGCAAAGGACTAGGAGAAGCCAATTCCGACTTATAACAACCCCTGCCTAGGGAATCTTGATTGAGTAAAGGGTAGAGATGGTGTCTCGATAAAAATACTCATCTTGGGCAGATGTTAAACGCATCCGGCTACTGTCTTGTAGAAGACATCCTAGGCAAAGACTTAAGGAGTAAACAGGTTCTATCTGTTGATTAACCTCGCATTCCTTCATCTATTAGGTTGACGCAAATATATTTATAATACATTGTTTCCAGTTAAGGATGTTAAATGCTAGATCTTCTTGACTCAATGCATGGATTTTGTTTGTGCTTCTGTTTTATGAGAAGCAACTCATTCTATTATCTCTTAATACAGCTCTAAAACTCAGTTTTATGGTTCTGAGGCCGGCTAGTAGTCAGGTTTTTCAAAATCAGTGGTAGGTCTTAGAGTGACTGATTCCATCAACAGCTGTAAAATATCAGAGTATTAACAAAGTCAAAATACGCATGGATAGTGTCCCTGTTCATACTTTTGGTGTGCATTTTCTTTTTTTAGTTTATATTTCGCTGTTAAAATAAATTACATATGAGTTTTACATGGTAACTATCAGTAAATAAAATATTTTAAAACAAACTGGGACTCAAAGAAGATATGGGTAATGCTATATCACCTAAATCTTTTCATAGAGCCCCTTAATATATTAAAATTCTGTCAGATAGAGTTAAAAATATAAAAGTAATTTAATAAAAAAATTAAAAATAAACTAAACATATAGTCAGAAAGCAAATTATTTTTACAACTACAATGATATTTTGCAATAATTATATTTTAAAGCTAGGTATTCAAAAATTAGAAATACATACAAACGGGTCAGGGTAACAACATCCGCTTTTGCTATGTCATTGTTTTTGCAACAACATCTGAACAACATTCCAAATTTCATTGATGTATAATAACATCTGTCTAACAACATCCGAAATTTGATTGATTTATAATAACATCCATGCAACTACATCTGTAGATTTCTCGGATGTAACTACATCCGAAAAAAATATTTTTTAATAATGCATTATTTTAACCAGATGAAGTTACACATCTGATTTTTTTCGGATGTACCTGCATCTGCCAAAAAAAAATTATTAAAATGCATTAATTTTGGCATAATATATTTTTTTTCAAATTTTATTTTTTGATAGACTTCCTGCCCAAACCAAACCCTCAGTTGATGTAGCAGCACTCCGTTGCGAGTCAGGCTATTTGTCAGTCGATGTAACAGCACTTATATAATATAATAATTCTATATGTAGCTTATATATGTAATTACATCCCGGAATTTTTTTTTTAATAATACATTGATTTAATCAGATTTTTTCGGATGTAACTACATCCGGGAAAAAATCAAATTCAAAAATGCATTATTTTAACCAGATGTATTTACTCATCTGACTTTTTTCAGATGTAAATACGCCCAGAAATTTATTTTATTTAATAATGCATTATTTTAGGCGGATGTAGTTGCACATTGAGAAAAACTTCCGGATGTAGTTACATCTTTCTAAAGATGTTATTAGACATCAATGAAATATCGGATGTTGTTGGGCAAATGTTAATTCAGTAAAGAAAAAAAGCGGATGATCTTGAACAAAAATGTGCGTATGTTATTTCACTACTTCACGAATGTTTTTGGACAGATGTAGTAACCTTTTTCCCATACAAGCATATACAGAAAGATTAAAAAATTTTACATTAAAAGACACATATCATTAGTAACTACTAAGAATAATAAGTAAAATCCATTTGAATAAATTTACAAAAGGGTTTTGTTTTTATTCCACAAAATTCAAAACATGTTTTTTTGCTTGGAACTTAAATGATTTTTATGATTTTACCATATTTGCACTAACTTTTTAAAAAGAATTCCGTTACTTTGGTCCACGATATGCTATTAAATATTTTGTACATTTATTTAATTTCCTTAGCAGTTTGAAGGAATTTAATTGATTTGTTCTTAAGAAATATTTTTCACTTACATTTTTCTCAAATCTACAAACGAAATTAGCCAGAGTTAGATTAATATTATAATTTTACATGAAAATTAGGTGCTGATAAAAATATATTTCGTCTCCATCTTTCACTTTCATATTTCTCATTAAGGGTTTAGTGTGCTCCCCTCTTTTTTTTCTGAAAATAATTCTAGAAGCATGTTTTTGCAAACTAAGTATTTTTTTTTAAGTTTTATTGGTTGTGTACTAACCCATGTTATATTAGCTTAGTTAATAAAACAAAGAATTAAAGAAAAGTATAATAACTTTAGACAAACTGTATTTACATATAGACGAACTCGGTACATCAGACCAATGGTTTTACTAACTTTTGATTGTAAATATTTAATATGGGGAAGCCAAGATAAATTATTGTTAAAATGTATTCATAAAAACTTTATATAGTCTTTTTTTTTGAAAATAGGGCTGGTAATTTAAGGGAAAGATTTTCTTCTTGCATTTTTTCATGAAACAAGGTATACTTTGTTTTTTCAACGTTTAATGAGAGTTTATTCGTTATAAACCAGTCATTTATCTTACTTAATTCAAAACTCATGCTGCATTAAGTTGTTTGATACTATTGTTAAAAAAAAAATAGGTTTTTGTCATCTGTGAAAATACTTGGGTTTAACTTTACTAATGCATTAACTAAGTCATTTATGTAAACTGAGAGAAAGAGAGGACGAAGTACCTATCCTTGCAGACTCCACACATGATTTTAAGTATTCCGCATTTTTGATTTAGAACATATTGTTTTTTTGTTAGAGAGGTAACTTTTAATCCAATAGTAGACTTTATTATTTACTCCATAATGCTTTTCTAAAAAAAAATTTTTTTATACTTTTCTAACAAAATAAAATGATCGACAGTGTCAAAAGCTTTTAAGAGAACTTTAAATAAACCTAAAGTAAGTTTATTTTCGCTAAAGTCATTATTTATTTGATCAACTAATTCAATACAATCATGTTCAGTTGAATAATTTTTCTGAAATCCTAATTGATTTGAATAAAATAATTGTTTTTAGTAAAATGATCTAAGATTCTATTGTAAATTAGAGGTTCGAATATTTTTGAAAATACAGAAAGCATAAAGATAAAGATAAAGGCATGTAGTTGGAAAGATTAGAATGATCATCATTTTTGGAAATACTTTTGCTAATTTAATACACCAGCAAATAACCCTTGATCGAAACAAAGTTTTATTATATAAAATAGCGGTTTACTAATACCTTTTCTTTTTGCAATAAGTATATTACTGGGTATATCATCAAATTCCAGTGATTTATTGT